TCTCTCTCTCTCTCTCTCTCTCTCTCTCTCTCTCTCTCTCTCTCTCTCTGTGCAGTGTGTGGATGAACTCCGCGTCGTGCGGGTGGTGAGGCTCTTTCAACAACGACGTTTGTCGTCATATTTAGCATAACCACCTGTCAAACATCCAATACCTCCGAAAAACGTGATCTCTCTCTCTCTCTCTCTCTCTCTCTCTCTCTCTCTCTCTCTCTCTGAACTCCCCGTTGTGCGAGTGGTGAAGCTCTCATTCAACTACGCCGTTTGTAACCTTATTTTTCTGTCCCCAACCTCTGAAACATCCAAATACCTCATGTTGACAGATTCTCTCTCTCTCTCTCTCTCTCTCTCTCTCTCTCAATTCCCCGTCGTTCGCGTGGTGAAGCCCTCTTTCAACAACGTCGTTTGTAACCACATCTTTGACAAGCACTTGTCTAACATCCGGCAGTTGGCGCGTTGCTGACGTGGCATCGTTCTTGACGGCCTATTGGCCATTGAACACTGACGGGGCAACTCCGCAGAAGTTCTGCATTGGCATGTCAGGGTGACACATGGCAGCGGGCATGCCTTGCCGCTGGTGAGAAGTTGATACTTGCACTTGCGTGCTGGCAGCGTTACAGCTTCACGATTGGTTGTAGAGCCACGCGCCGACCCTTATGTTGCATACTGTAACGGTGCAGACCAGAACAAGAACCAACCTCTCAATACAAAGTATAAGATAGCACAGCGGAAGACTTAGATACCAATGATCCGAACAATCAATAGTGCAATGCAGCCCTGAACATACATCATCATCATCGTTACATGGTGTGAATGGGGTCTAGCGCTTCACACAGGAAGATTGCGCCAGCCCCTATCATACATAGACGAAGAAGAAGGGGGGTTAGACGAAGAGGAGGGGAAGATGGGAACGTCGTCAACACCAAGTCTTCGGCACAGCACAAATAGTCCCTCGTCGAAATGTCTGAATCCCAAATGTCAAGTCTGGATCCAATGTCGTCAAGTCCCAAGTCACAACTCTCTCTCAGTAGTAGTCCGCTGATACTGAGAAGTCAGGTGGTGAGAGGGGAAGAAGAGATGGTGGACTAAGAAGAAGAGGAAGAAGAACTTTCTCTCTCTCTCTCTCTCTCTTTCTCTCTCTCTCTCTCTCTCTCTCTCTCTCTCTCTCTCTCTC